TGGGGTTATCTGACGGAGAGACGCAAAGCAGTTTAAAGCAGAGTCCTGCATGGGTCCTGTTTGGTAAACGCACATCTTAACAGAACACTCGACCCGCTATCCAACAGCAGCACTAATTTAATTCTGTACCAGACCAGATCCGTCTGACATAAAGATAGTGAGTCGTGACCTGAACCGCACACGCATTAAATCTGTTACATCAGGTAGGCAAAACTATTTATTTTCTAATGTAACACAAGCAATCAAACCAAAATTAGGCATTCTAAGTTGGTGCTTTGAAGAAAACCAGACACGCAACGCAATGTAATAATTAACAGAAAAAAAGATGAGAACGCGCATCCTTTCTGTAAACAATACAAAACTTTAGCCTAGCATCTTGTGATCACTCTGCCAGGCTTTCGGACAAATGTGCATAGGCTAAATCACATCATACAAGCTTATAATTCTTCATAAATGAAAAGAACATATTCAAATATGAGCCTTTACTGTTTAATGTGATTGCCGTTATTATTGAATTTCGTTAGTCCCAGTTATGATTTATGCGCAGTTGTTCACAGAAAAGTGAGCAAGACACGACAGTTACAATATCATGATTATGGTTAAACAAGAAAAAAGACATCTAACCATCATAACCAAATTGGGCTACGTGTATTGTTATATTAAAGATCTCAATACACATCATTAGATACAACATTAAGCACAACTTGTATACATTTATTTAGTAAGAAGGCTTGACTGCTTCATTTTGGCATATATTTGTATACTTTTATCATTTAATCAATCTCAGCATGCGCTAATTTTGTGTCGCTAGACGTTTGCCTCACTCACAGTCTTTCTTTGTCCTGCGCTCTGGAAGTGATCTGTTAATTCTGCTAAACTTAATTAAAACTGAAACTAAACTATATAAAAACTAAATAAAATTGTGTTCACAAAATAAAAACTAAACTAAAACCAACAACAATATTATTGAAACTAATAGAAATTAAGCTTTAGCGTTAGTTCTGGCAGGTCACGTGAGTCAAGCTTGCATCAGCTGATTCTCAGCTGATCACATCTACCTATAGGAATATGACACCTATCGCGGCATTCCTATATAAGCTCTATTCAGTATTATTCAGCAGCTTTTCAGCTTGCTCCGGAGCAAATTATCCTTCTCCAGCCCCAGCTCCACCTTTCGCCACAGTCAGGACTTAGCTTTCTGATATTCCTTGCTAATCAGACTCCTTTATCTTGAATAAAGTGTTACACTTAAATATCATTGAGTACATTAATGATATCTGCCTTGTTCTGTTCTGTTAACCCTGGGGGGGTTATTATTGCTGTTCTCCCTGCTCATTCATGACAGGCTGCATGGATGGGCAGGGAGGTTTTTTGCCCAGAACAGAACCATACCGCCAAACCAAACTTTATGCTAAGTATCTATCATTTTGACGATAGTGGTCCTGACAGAACTGAATTTTATAGCAAATTTGAAAACGAAATTAAAATAAAACTAATTTAAAAAAATCCAAACTATAATAACCTTGATATATGCATATACATGCATGTATATTTAAGAAAAATGTGACATTTATATATATTTATATAGGATATAATTTATATGAATATAAATATATACACGTAAAAACAGGTAAATATTTTCAAAATATATGCTTTATGTGTGTGTCTTTACATATACATAATAAACATACACAGTACACACATATATTATGTAAACAAAACTTGTATTTTGGATGCGATTAATCATGATTAATCGTTTGACAGCACTAATATATATATATATATATATATATACTGTATATGTGTGTGTGTGTGTGTGTGTGTGTTTGTGAGTGTGTGTTTGTGAGTGTGAGTGTGTGTTTGTGAGTGTGTACAGACAAGCAGATGTGGCCAGAATATGAACGCATCACTATACTTTATAACAGTTTTCTATGGGAAGAAAGCACTTAAATTCAGCGTGTTGCATTCATATTCCGGGATCATCACATAATAGGACTTTGTCAGTTATGCATGACGTTCAGATTTTTTTGGTTTCTGAGTTATTGTTTTTATAAAAGTGCATTAAAAATGACAAAAAAAACTTTAGAAAACACATTTAGATGTACAATTATACTTTTATAACTTATAAAGTCTAAAATGAGCTCGCTATGGAGCCTTGAGAGCATGTGACCTAACATGTGCTAATGCCTTATTTACTACTTTGTTACTGAAAATGTGAAACACATGGTAAATACATTTTAATTTTACTTGGGGGGGGGGGGGGGG